ATTAAAAACTAGTAAGTTCTAGAAATGTAGAGCAGGGCTTGTGGTCTCAATCCCTAGTACCAACAAAAACTAGAGAAATAGCTCAGTGGTGTAAGCATGTGCCTGGCAAGTACAAGGTCCTGAGCTCAACCCCTGGCACCAAAATAAAACCTAGTAACAACAACAACAAAAACTGGGTGGGGACTTGAATTCAGGATCGTCCTGGACTCTGCTGTGTAGCCCAGATGGCCTTGAACTTGCACCTATCCTCTTGCCTCAGCCTCCTGAGTGCTGGGATTACAGGCATGCTCCGCCAACAGAATTTTTTTCAAAAATGAAAACATATGGCCACGACCGCCTGGGGTTGAAAGCTCTGCCTTAGGGTCTCCAGACAAAGCCAAGGTTGAAGGACCATGCCAGAGTCCCCAGAGAAGCTTGTGGGTGTCCTGAGTGAAGTTCAGTGGCCCCAAAACCTAGGTTTCTTAAGACTCTTTGGGAACAGCAAGTTACCGGAAGGGCGAAGAGCCAAACTGAATTTAGAGTCAAGCAGGCTCCACCTCCCTGTCTGCCACGCTTCATTTACTCACTAATCTCAGGAAATGAGCAGTTTGCTCTATCTGCTTGATCTCAAATCTACATTTCTGCCCTTCTCCCAACTGCCCATCCTTCTGCTTGCAGTAAATGGTGCTGAGACTGACCTGGCTGCTCAGGCAGCAACTGAGAAAGTGTGTATTCGCTTTGCTCACTCTAGTATCTAGTTCGTGAGCAAGATCTGTGAATTCCAGCCTCAAAACAAGCCTTAAAAATAGCTCAGAGGATTAAAGTGCCCGCAAGCAGGTGCAGGGGCTGGGGGTTCGATCCCCGGGCCTACTGTGCCAACTGGGAATAGTGGCCCAGGTCTTGGGAAGTTGTAAACAGGAGGATCACTACACTTCAGATCTAGTAGTGAGACCCTGAACACCCTATAGACCCTTCCCTAAAATACAAAAGAAAAACAAACAAAAAACCAACAGGCCTTGAGCCCATCCACTGCCACCACTAACAGCTAAATCACGGATCTTCAGGGCTTCCTATTTGGTTTCTCACCCATCTTATTTTTCTTTTTGCAAGACAGGGGCTCACTATGCAGTCGGGCTGGCCTTAAACTTACTGTGTAGACCAGCCTGTGTTCCAATGTGCAGCGAACCTGCCTCAGCCTCCCGAATGCTGGGATTACGGGTGTGCACAACCACACCTGGTGCTACCCCATTATTGTTTTGTTTTTTTGCACTACTACAACTCGAATCCGGGGCATTCTGCACGCTAACAGGTGCTCAGCCCAGGCCCCTGTAATTTACATAAGAGCAACAGTTTGCACTGTAAAATGTAAAAATAGCTCAAGGCCCTGTAGAAAGCCAGGCCTCTCTCTTCTATTCTTTTAGGTGTTAACTGTAAAGGGTTAACAGAGTTTTGTGCCTTAACTGTAAAAAATTATTTTAAAAAACCTTGTGCTTCCTGTTATCTACTCTAAAAAATGTGTTTTCCCTCTCGTCTCAAGGCTGTTCAACAATAAATGTTTCTTGTTAAGGCAGCAAGCGAACACAAACTCCCTCCCCAACTATCTCCTATAATGTAGTCAGCTTAAGATATATCTTATAAAAATATAAACTTATCACTTAGCTATAAAAAACCTTTTGGTTATAAACAGTTTACAGCTGTGTGAGATAAATGTAGTTCTTGTTGTTCTGTGCTAGATAACAAATTTGCTTACCAAACTGGATGTGATTTCTGTTATAAATACCTACGTTCGGGCCGATCAGCCTTCTCCTGATGCCTTCTCCTGCGTTAGAAGTGGCTGACGGACCTGAGCTCAGTAAATAAAGGCTCTATTTAAATTTCTCTCTGGCTGATCTGGTTCCTATGCAGAGTTGATCCATAACATTAACTTAGGTCTTATCTAAGAGTACTTGACTATCTAATTTAAAAATAAGGACACATCCGTTTGTTCCTTCCTTCCCAGAACCTGTCGTTTTTGTTTTGTTTTGTTTTGTTTTTTGCTGATATAATAAATATCCTCAAAGACAGAGCTAAACCAGTTTGACGAACACGAAAGCCTCTCGAACCCAGCCCCGTCCTGCCGCAGGCGAGACCCAAAGGAAAAGCTGAGCGGAAGCGCTCGGAGGGCCTGAGGCGGGGCGGACTCGCGCCAGGACCGCCCGCGGCTCCGCTCCACGCGTCACGTGACGGCGGACGACCGCCCCTTAACTCTGGCGTGCCTCCCCTCAGGCCCTTCCGAGCGTCCAGGGTGGTCTGCAGGGATCAACTTCCACCCGCGCTGCCTCCCGCCGTTGCGCCCCGCAAAGGTTACGGCATCCCATTACCAACAGAGCGCGTCCTCAGCGTCAGCGCCATCGCCGCCATGTTTGCCTCCCGGCCGCTTCCGGTCTGGGAAACCTACTTCCGCTACCGGGGATCTACTTCCGGGTCCCGCGCTATCGTTGAAAGAGTGGCGCGAGAAGTTGCCGGTGAACCGGGTAGGTCGTGGACCTTGCGGGGGTCGAGGCTGTCGTGCCGAGCGCCGCCGCGCAGGGGCGTGATGACGGGGGACCCCTGCCGCTGGCCGCCGGCCTCACTGTCGGGTTTTGCAGGGTTAGCCGAGATGCAGGGAGGGGACGGGCATTGGGGCCCCCTGCCTGGCGTACACAGAGAACCGTGACATGCCCACGCAGACATGTGCGGTGGGTCGCTCATAGCGCTGTTACTCCCTATAGCCAAAAGGGAGAGAAACGGAATGTCCTCGAAGTGATGAGTGGGTGAGCAGAACGTGGCGGATTCCTGCAGCGGAATAGTACCGGAGACTAGGTGGGAGACACCGGGCATAATAGGCTGTATATAGTATGACTTCCTTTATGTGAAATAGCCAGAACAGGTAAACTCATAGACAGTAGACCTTCGCTTGTCAGCGGCTTGGAGAAGACGAAAACGGGCAATGACTGCTTAGTGGCTGTAGGATGCCCTTTTTTCTTTTCCCTGTCTTCTTTTTTTGGTCCTGAGACAGGGTCTCACATTGTAGTACAAACTGGCCTTGAACTCACTGTGTAGTCCAGGCTGGTGTCGAATTCCCAGTGATCCTCCTGCCTCAGTCTCTCGAGTACTGAGATTACTGGAGTGTGCCACCGCGCACAGCCCAATTTATTTTTTGAGGTGATAAAAATGTTCTAAAATTAGTAGTATTGGGGCTGGTGAGATGGCTCAGTGGTCTAAAGCACCTACTTAGAGCAAGCTAAGCTAAGCAAAGCACAGGGACCGCGGTTCAATCCCCCGGCACTACATGCCAGCCAGCCCCGCCCCCTGGTGGGCTGAGCTGGCCACACACACAAAATGAATGAATAAATAAAATAATTCTTTAAAAAAATAAATAAATAAAATTAGTAGTATTGAATTTACAAAAAAGAACTAAACCATACTTTTTTGTTGATGGCTTTGCAGTACTAGAGATCAACCCCAGGGCCTTGTATATGCTAAATACTACCACTGAGCTATCCCACCAGCCCCTGAAATATATGCATTCTAGGCTGTGTGTGGTGGTGCCAACCTGTAATCCCAGCCACTCAGGAGGCTAAGGCAGGAGGATTGCAAGCTTGAGGTCAGCCTGGATAACTTACTGAGATGCTGTCTCAAAATTTATTTATTTTTTTAAAAAAGCTGACCATATGGGTCATGGTAGCATGTGCCCGTATTCGATCCCTAGCACTGATCAAGTTTGTGTTGTTTTTTTTTTTTTAATTTTTATTTATTTGAGAGAGAGAGAGAGTGTGGTGTGTGTGTGTGGCCAGCTCAGCCCACCAGGGGGCGGGGCTGGCTGGCATGTGGCGCTGGGGGACCTAACCGCGGTCCCTGATGCGTTGCTAAGCTTGTTCTAAGTAGGTGCTCCAGACCACTGAGCCATCTCTCCAGCCCCAAGTTTGTGTTTAAAATAATAAACATTATGTGAATTATGTGTCCAGTTTTTAAGAAATTGATTTTTGAGATCTTCATTTCAAATACAAATATCAACAAGGAGGTGGCGGTGAGCCTCCTTACTACTCACATTAAAACTTTATAACTCCTGCACATGGTGATGAATGTAGGTAATCCCAGCACTCAGAAGGCCGAGGCAGGAGGATCTTAAATTTGAGCCAGACCCTGTTTGTTTGTTTGTTTTAAAAAAAGAAAAGTAAAGGGGTTAGAGGTACAGTGCTTGTCTGGTGTGTGGGGGAGACCCTGGGTCCTGCCCATGTACTACAAAAACAAAAAACACAGAGGACTGACTCGAGCACACCTGTATGTCATCTTTTTTTTCCTTTTAGGCAGTTACTTCAACAGCAGGTGCTGATGACTCCAACGAAGTTGTCGCTCTCTTTGGCTTCCAGCGAGAGCGAGTCCGAGGAGTTGCCAACATTTGCTTTCCTGAAGAAGGAACCATCTTCAGCCAAGAGGAAGCAGCCTACAGGGTCCGAGGAGATCATCCTGGTCCACACCTCGGACTCTGAGGCCTCCCGACCGCCCTCCCCAGGGGTGGGGCAGCCATGGGTCCCGCATACAGCAGTCACTCGCACCCAGGCAGAGCCACTCCAAGTGCTGAGCAGTGGAAGCGAGGATGAGGAGGAACTCGTCCCCCTGGCCAGGCGGCTTAGATGTAAGTTTCTGACCAACGGGCAGCCATGCTCCGCTGATGCTAGCCCCTCAGGTGAAGTATTGGAAAGTCATCACAATGAAGGACTGTCATGTGGCTGGGAAAAGCCATCCCTTCCAGAGGCCTTCCGTATCCCCCTTGGTGACAGCTCTGGTTTGACTGCAGCAGATGACCAGTTGGGGCGCTTAGACTTCCCATGCTGTGACCCCCTGGGTCCTCAGCCTGCCTGCCTCACCCAGGAAAACAGATTGACAGGAACCAAAATGAAATCTGGTGTCGCCCGCCCTCAAAAGAGAGCCAAGCACAGTCGGGAGGGGGAGAGGAGACCGCAGGGAAGAGCGACCTGTAAGAAAATTTCCCCAGGACAACAGGAAAAGAAGAAGAAGGCGGCGGCTCTGGCCAGCAGGCTGAAGGCCCAGCGGCCCGAGGAGTGCCTGAAGCACATCGTCGCGGTGCTGGACCCAGGTCTTCCCACCTCCGTCTTGCCCTGAGCGTGCGGGCTCGTCCCAGCCACCTGCTGACCGGCCATTTCTGTGCATTGCAGAGCTTTTGCAGACGGGAGGCGGGGGCCAGCTCCTCAGCGCGCTGCAGTCCATGGAGTGCCGCTGTGTCATCGAAGCACAGGCGGTGCCTTGCAGTGTCACGTGGAGGAGAAGGCCAGGTCCCCCGGAGGTACGGGTTTTCTGGTGAAGGCTTTTGGCTCCTACAAGTTATGGGATCGACCTAGTATTTTTATTTATTTACTTGAGCTTTTTTTTTTTTTTTTTCCTTAAACAGGGTCTTTCTGTAGTTCATGTTGGCCTTGAACTCTCTATGTAGAATACACTGGTCTCAAATTTGAGGCAATCTTCCTGCCTCAACCTCCCAAGTGATGGGATTGAAGGCGTGTGCCACCATGCCTGACTTGATACTTTGTTTTTCAAAGATAGACAATTGTTCTGTAGTTCAGGCTGCCTTTGAGCTCATTGTATAGCCCTGGCTGAACCCACGCTCACAGCTGGCTTCCTGCCCCAGCCTCCCGAGGGCTCGATGTGTCTTTATTCTAGATGGGATAGTTCTCTATAAGGAGGCAGGCACTGTCCTGTATATCAGTGTCCCTGGGCTCTACCCACTGCATACCAATAGCACCTTTCCAGTTACGACACTCAAGAATGTCATTTCTTGGGAAAATTCACCCTGGTGTGGCTGTAACTAGCAGGGCTAAGAGGAGGAAGCAGTCCACCCAAGGCAGGAGAGAAGCATAGAAAGGAAGGGCCACCCTTAGAGGTGCTCTGGGGTGCGGGAAATGCCAGGTGACCCCACTGGGAAGGAACCAGAAAAGAAAGGCCCTGACTTTGCTCTCTCCAGCTGCCTATTTGGGTTCCCAGCTGTCTGTAGAGATTGGCTCTTGGGTGGGTCAGGGACCCAGGGCCTGCACACAGCACTGCTCGAGGTGTGGTCATCGTTTTATGTGTGTTGGGCGCAGTGACTTGAGTTTGGCCAGCTGTGACTGGGGTGGATGGGAGGGGTTGTTTCTTGTGCTGTGACTTCACACAGGGGGTAACACTTGGGGCAGAAGATGGACTCACTGTGCTGACCTGGGCCTTCCTGGGGACTCCATGCTGCCAACCCCTTCCTGGGGCTGGGTTCTGGGTCTCTGGCAGGATGAAGAGGCCTGGGTAGAGGAGCCGATGATCCTGGTGTTGCTCCTAGCGGAGGCTTTTGTGTCCATGGTCCGAAATTTAAAGCAGGTGAGCAAGGCCAGAGGATGAGGGCCACACCTGGAACAGAGCGCCCACTCTCCCCAGAGATCCAGCATTAATCCACTTCTGGCCTACCAACAGGGAAGCCCAGGCAGCAGCATGAACAGCAAGGAAACGCTTGAGGGCTTTGTCACTGACGTCACAGCAAGGGCAAAAGGGAAGGCTCTATCCCTAGTGATTGTGGATCAGGAGAAATGCTTCAGGTTTGGGTTTTCCCCCGAGACTGGGTCATTGTTAAAAAGGGGTGGGTCCTGTGCCAAGAAGTGAGTTTGGTCACCCCAGCTGTGGGTCACTGCGAGATGGTATCCTGGGAAGCCCTGTGGCACACGCTTGTCCACTCTTGCTCCCAAGTTCAGCCTGGAGCTGCTGTTCTTTGATTTCCTTCCTTGCTGCAGGGCTCAGAATCCTCCCAGGAGAGGGAAACAGGGAGCGGCAAATAAGCAAGCCAGGGAGAAGCAGGGACAACAACCAGAGTCCAGCCCTGTGTCCAGGGTGGACATGGAAGAGGTAAGAACTTCCTGATCCTGAGGCAGGTGGGTGCTCCCTGGGCATCAGCCACAGTTGCTATGGAGACAGAAGAAAACGTCTGCTAGATGCTGCTTTCTACCTGAGTGAGCACCAGTGCCCAGCCAGGCCCAACAGGGAGCGCAGGGGCAAAAGTGAGAGTGACTTCCAGTGAGTCTGTGGCTTTTGATTTTCTAGGCCCTGGTGGATCTGCAGCTATACACAGAAACCCAGGTCCGGGTTGTGCAGAGCTGGAAGGAGCTGGCCGACTTCACCTGCTCAGTCACCAAGGCTGTGGCCGAGGCGCCCTTCAAGTGAGTGCTGCAGCGAGGCCAGTTGCTGTGCTGGGCCTTGCTGTGGCTCAGGGGCCAGGGCAGGTCCGTTTCCTCTCCGCACCGCAGCCAGACCACTATCACTTGTTGAGGCAGGAGCCATGCTGTGGATTCCCGGAAGAGCCCTCAAACCCAGTGCCTGGTGAAGCATTCATTAGCTTGTGTGAAGCGTGAGTTCTGCAGGTCAGAGCTGGGTCAGGTTAGTGTAGTTCCTTACAGGTCAGACCATAGGAAATAAACCCTGGGAAATCAAATGTCTGACTGGATTTAAGGATTGTTCATACACAGAACTTATAATTAATGAGGGGTCTAAGAGACCATCCTGTCCCAGGCATTTTTTAAAAAATGTATTTGGCAGAGTCTATGAGGCCTGGACTTGTAGTGATCTCCTGTTTTCAGCCTCCCCAGCACTGGGATTACAGGCGTGCCCCACCATGCCTGGTCTCAGTGGCTGGCTCAGCACACCCAGGGGTGCCAGGGATGGAACCCTGGTTCCTGTGCTTGCCTAAGGATGCGCTTAGGCCAGTTAAGTCCACTGAACTATCTCACTGGCCCCCAGGCCCTTATTTTAGACTGGAGGTCACTGAGGCCTAAAGAGAGTAAGTTTGTCTAAGCTCTTAACAAGTGAGAACCAGACAGCTCTTGATACCCAGTGCCTTGTGCCAAACGCAGGGCAGGACAGCCCCATCTCTACACAAGCAGTTTGGTGCATTCTCTAGTTCCAGTGATGGAGTAGGTTTTTTTTTTTTTTTTTTTTTTTTTTTTTTTTTTTTTT